CCAGAAAACACAAAAAGTCTCAACATGTGCTACAACGGGCTTCAGTTGTAGGTGGAGTCAATCGGCTTGGTTACATTGTATGGAGCTTGAGCAATGTGGAGCTTGGAGGTTTGACTGATTGAGCAGCCTAAAGTGTGAACTATCGGAGTTTTGCAGGAGGATCGTCATGATTGAAGCTGCAAAAGAATTGTCTTGATCAATGTTGTGGAAGCGATGATTGGTTGGATGGAATTTGAGTCAAGGTGCAGATTGTTGGAATTTGTGTCTTTATGTCTCAAATTCCTATTCTACTTGTGTTTCTATTTTAGAGTTGTATTTTGTTTGGTAATTTCTTGTTTGGCAAGTCTTGGCCTCTAAGAAAGTGTAATCCTTGTCCAACAAGGAATTGGGTTTGGAACTCTATAAAAAGATACATAGGCTTTAGGTGGAGACTTATGAGATTGATAGAAATGTAGTCTCACGAGGGAGTCGATGGATAGAAGTAGTATGCGGGTTGGTAGAGTAGGAAAAACACCGGTGACACTGTTAGCAAGGAGATAGGCTCATGGAGTGGTACATGGTGAAAAGACATGTACGTGGTGTTGGTACTCTATTTTTGTAATATCTCTACAAATCATAGTGGAATCTCTTTGATGTCATCCATGGATGTAGCCCTGAGTTTGGGTGAACCATGTATATCTTTTTTTTGTGTGTGATTATTTTGTTGGCTTTCATTGGATTTATATATCCGTGCGCTTCCACTGCTCCAATAATCACCATGTCCTAACCATTGTTGCTTCCTCTATTGACCTGTCCTCCTTTTGGCATTCTTCTATTTCTCGTTCACAAAATTTAATATCTACCGGGGTTTTGGATAATTTGCATAGTCATGATCTCTGATTGTAGTGGCAACAAACCTGCCAAATTTTCTGCTTTTCCTTTTAATAAGACTTCCTTTACTTCTATGGCACCCTTTGATTTAGTTCATTCTGATGTGCAGGGACCTGCTCCTATTTCTACTAAAGAAGGGACCATATATTATGTTCCTTTTACTGATGATTATTCGGCATTGTCAAGTCTATGTTATGAAACGTCGTTCTAAATTCTTTTCTATCTTTAGTAAATTTCGTGTTATGCTTCCCACACAATATTCATCTATTATCAAATGTTTAGATGTGATTTAGGTCCCTTTCTTGATCTGCTAAAAACAGATGGCACTCTTCTGCAATCTTCTTGTGCCGATACTCCGTAGTAGAATGGTGTGGTTGAGCAAAAGCATAAGCACATCATGGAGATTGCTCGTTCTCTTTTGTTATCTGTCAATGTTCCAAGTTTTTTTTTTGGGGGAAGTTGTTCTTATGGCAATTCATATTATAAATAGAATACCAACTACTGTTACCTCTGATATTTCTCTTTTAAAATGACTATGCTATAAGCTTCCTGATTATTTCTCATTGAAAGTTTTTTTGTTGCACTTGTTTTGTTCTTCTTCCTAAACATGTTCGTACTAACTTATCCGCTCATTCTGCTGTGTGTTTTTCTTGGTTATGATGACAGTCAGAAGGGGTATCAGTGTTATGAACCTATCACTCAAAGGTCATATGTGTCTCGTCATGAAGTGTTCCTCGAGCACATCCCTTTCTTCTCTATTTCCGCTAGTCCTACCACTATGAGTAAGTCTGATCTCCTTCACATTGATCCCTTTACAGTTTTTTGGGGGGGAGGTTGTTCTTCTGGCAATTCATCTCTCACATGTCACCTTGCCTCTCTCACAAGTTAGAGAATGCAACTTGCATTCACATTCATAATGATGCGGACCCCACAATCATAATGGCAATGCACGAGGTGGCCATAAGCATTTAATAAGTGGGCCCCACAAATATTCCCTCACATACTCTCTCACATGCATCATTGCGCCTTTTTGTTTACCCATATATATATTACTATATGTTAAATATATTAAATCAGTGCCCGTATATTTGGTACCAAATCTATATGATGCTGAATATCTTGAATGGGTGGCAAACCATCTGGCAACTCATCTATAATATAATCTTGAAATTCTCCAGTAATGGTTGTAGTGCATTAGGAACAGGTAAATTTCCTGTCACTTCCACGCTTTTGACAATGAGCACCATGATCTCGCCCGACTCTTTCACTGCCTCCACAAACTGCTCATCAGGGATAGTAAGAAAAGAACGCCCCTCCACTTTAGAAGCTTTGGGTGGTTCTTCCCCCGTTGGTACCAACCCAACATTTTGATCATGCCACCAAAACAGATATATGTTGTCCTACCCTTTATAAGTTATCCACATCATATTGCCAAGGACACCCCAATAATAAATGGCATGCGTCCATCTCAACCGCATCACATACTACCTCATCTTTGAAATATTTTTGCCGATGGAAAATGGTATACGGAAAATTGTGGTAATATTATCCTCAACACCCTTCTTTATCTACCCAATTTTGTAAGGGGGTGGATGCTTCTCAATTTTCAACTGCAGTTTCTTGACTAAGGCATTTGACACAATATTCTTGCTACTACAACTATCCACAATCACATCACAAACCTTTTGGTTGATCGTGCATCTGGTTCAAAAGATACTACATCGCTATCAGTCAGTCTCCTGTTTTGGCACAAATAACAACCTCTGCACTAGACAGTTAACCCGATCACCATCGTCACCGCCAGCAAAGTAGCACCATCATATTCATTCTGAGTATCATCAATTTGATCTTCTTCGTTGACATCTGCCTCATCATCTTCAGACTCTACCATATTCACTTGCCCACGGTTAGGGCACTCGTTGGAACGATGACCAGGCTGTTTGCAGCGATAGCACTTGCCTAGCCAAGAACATGCAAACGGGTTTTTATCATTTTTACCCTTATTTTATCCTGCTACTGGGAACTACAGCGCCTGAGGAATGCTGTTGAGAAACTACAGCTTGTTTCCCTTTATTCAGTGTTGAACGTACCAATCAGAGTTAAACCTGTTCGTTTCCTGAACCCGTGAGGGTGGCCTTGCTGTAGGCCAGGTTGACAGCTTCTGATAAACTCCAGATTAGATGCATCGTAATTTGATCTTGGATCGCCGCCCTAATCCTCTAATATATCTTGCCACCTGCTGACTTTCCGTCTCTGATAGATTATTGCGTGCATTTAATCTGTAGAATTCCTCCGTATAGTCGTTAACCGATCGATAACCTTACTTGCAATTCTGGTACTGGTGGTTTAACATTTGTTCATAGTCTGGTGGTAGGAATTTGGATCCCAGCAACTGCTTCATCTTGTGCCATGTTCGGACAAGTTGTTTCCCCTGCCGCCTACGGTTGCTCTGTGTGTGCTCCCCCACCAAGCAGAAGCACCTCCCTTAAGCTTATATTGTACAAGATTAACTTGCTTGTCTTTGGGAATCTCCATATACTCGAAAAAGTGCTCAACATCAATGATCCAGTTAAGGAAATCTTCAATATGAAGATGTCCATTGAAACTAGTAAGATCAATTTTTATTCGAAAATCACGAGTGCCTGGATTTCTTCGGTTTTGGGCATAGCTCGATCACACCGATCCATGCCAAGTCCTCCGAACTCCTCATCGTTGGAATACTCAACATGGACTGGAGGCCCACGTGGAGGTACAGGCCAAGTCACACAATCCTTCTCAACGGGTGTCGCTCTCACGCTCCGAGCGCGCTCCAGCTCTCACTTTCCGCGCACGCTCTGGCTCAAATTCTCACTATTTATAACTTAATTATGCCGCTCTCAAGCTCCAGCTCCCGCTTTATGTGACTAATGGTTACCCATATTTGGTTGGCCATGAGGAACATCTCTAACACGAGCCTGAATAGGATCACGATTCTGGTTGCTACCATTACCATCATTTGCCATCACACTAGGGTAGATCAAGGCTCTGATACCAATTGACGTAGCGGAAGCAAAAAAGAGATAAGTATCTCACACAAAGCAATAGCTTTAACAAATTATAAAACTGATATTGTTAACTTCGTTCAATTCAAGATGCCTCAACAATACAAAGGTGGGCCTTATTTATAGCATAATCCAAACTTGCTCTCCAAGTTAGAGAATGCAACTTGCATTCATATTTATAATGATGCGGACCCCACAATCATAATAACAATGCATGAGATGGCCATTAAGCATTTAATACGTGGGCCCCGTAAATATTCTCTCTCATATGTCACCTTGCTCACTAAGAGAATGCAACTTGCATTCACATTCATAATGATGCCGACCCCACAATCGTAATGGCAATGCATGAGGTGGCCATTAAGCATTTAATAAGTGGGCCCCATAAATATTCCCTCACATATTCTCTCACATGCATCATTTCACCTTTTTGTTTACCCACATATATATTACCATATGTTATATATATCAAATCATGGATGTCCTGCATCAAACCTTTACTTTATATGCATATAAATTCATCCTTTCACAATTAATGGACAATTAGCTCAAAAACCCTTTGAACTACTCAATACAGTGATTCACCAATATTATATTAAGATATATAAATAAGATTTTATTAAATAAATGTCAATTTACAATCAAAGCCTCTGCAGGGCACACAACCTAACACTTTCTTCCTTCTCTTTAACCACAGAAAGAAAACATCACTAACTCTCTTTTCTCTTCTTTCTTCCTTCTCTTTTACTGCAGAAAGATAACATCACTAACATAATTTTTGTTAATTATATTGTTCCTCTATGTTTTGTTCTGCATAGTTTATTCACCCACTCAACATGAAACACAAAACAAATTACAAGTACAAATGTGTCATAGATTAAGCATCTTCTTGCAAGTATAAGCGAGCATTTTATGTCACATAGAAGATTGTTAAAATGCTTCAGGATCGAGACAATGATAATGTAACTAGGGTTCTATGCAAATTCTATTGGCTACTAAAGTTATCTACAGAGTAGTTAAAATCAATGCAAATTATAGCAATTATAAATTACTAACACAGAAATGTAAGAGGCAAAGAAAGTTCACAACCTCAGCATCTAGCGAGATACGAGCATAACGAGAGAGCTGTTTTTGTATAGCCAAACTCCGTGCCTCTATGTTTTCATTATACCTATACAACAATTTTTACAATAAGTAATTCGTATGAGAATGTATGGAAATTCGGGGATTCAGGGGAAGATGGCATAACTCAACCATGTTTAGATGTCTTTGGAGACTAACATAAATATTTCTAATTAGACTTGTAAGCGGACTGGATTCGGACCCAGATTAGGCTTGATGCAATCAGAATCTGACAAGGTTATTTTCTGATCTAACACAATAACGATTATTTATTAATGAGGTCATATCTGATTTGTCTTAATTGGATATTCAATCTTATAACCCGATCTGTTAAGGGTGTAATTTTTTGTAAGAAAATTTAATGTCAAAAGAGATTTAAAAAAAAAAAAAGAAAAGCAGGTATTTGACTCTTTGTTAAAGTAGAAACAAAATAGATTAAGAAAGAATAGAGAAAGTGAAAAACAAATACAAAAACAAACACACAAAAAATATGATAATATGTATATAGTATATAATATATATTATATTATCTAGGATCGGATTATTATTGAATTGGATCAATCATGAATCATATATTCCGATGAAATCCTCTATTACCGTTTCTTTGATTTTCTTCTCTTTTCGCTTGTGTTCGTCAATGAGTACTCTGGATGGTCAAGGATTGTCGTTTCTTGAAGTTGCAAGGCTTCCTCATTTGGATCTCAAAGAGGATGTGGAATGTGATTTTACAAAGAGAGGGCATGTTCTTAGGGTGGACAACCACAGCACGGACAGTCGTGAATCCATGCACATCTTGGCTTGTTGGGCGATTTGACAGAGAAGTGGGATCTATGAATGATATTAAGCAGTGAGCTTCGAAGACATGGAAAATCTCGTGTGGGGTTAGGGTTTCTGCTCTGGCTGATGGGTTGCTTTTGTTCAGATTCCCATTGATTTTGGAAGCTCTACAGGTTTTGAAGAGGGGTAAGAAAGTTGGGGGCGATGCACAGTTGTTTATTGGTTTGTGGTGCTATCGGGTTGGGTGCTCTGGGCTGAGGAAGAAGACCTTGCACCGGCGAGTCATTTTGTACGGTCTTCCTCTGCATCTTTGGTGTCGAAGCTGTTTGTTGCCATTGGTGACCTATATGGAGGATATTGGGATGTTGAGGCTTATGAATTGAGTGATACAGAGAGAATCATTAATACTGTGCTCAAAGGAGGCGAGATCCCGGAGTTTATCACCGTGGAAGACAGATGGTGGGCCTTCAGAGTTGACTAAAGAGATTTGTCCTTCCCTTGTGCCTTTTTCCAATTCTTATGATGGGAGTGATAAGTTGAGAACCCAATTGATTTCGGATAGGAAGAATCGAGCATATCGATGACCTGAAAGTGGTCTTGGTGTTTCACTGGAGGAGTAGATTGCGGATTGCCACGGTGGTCTAACCAAAGGACAAGGACGTATGGGGATGCACGCGCCAAAGGAGAGTGGGGTGAGCAGAGATAGGAGTGGCGCACGTGGTTGGTGTTCATGCGCCTCCCGTTGTCGGTGCAAGAAAACTGTAGGTGCACGTGATTTAGCATGTGAGCGTTTGGGGCATTTGAATTCTGCTAACGATGGGCCTGGAACTAGGCCACATTATGGGCGTCATGGATTTAATGATATAGTTGGGCCTCATCAGATTAAGTCCAAGCCCAAGTCTATTGGGTCATCCTCCTCAGCTGGTCCGCACCAGGCTAAGCCCAACTCAATTGGGTTAAGATCGTCAACTGGGCTTCCTCATACTAAGCCCGCGTGAGGAGGGGGGGGAGGGGAGTGATGGAGGGGCGCTGGAGAGGGAGGGGGGGTAATGGAGGGGTTCTTGATACTGTTTCCTTATAAAGCTACGACTCACTTTGTGGAATGTCCAGGCCTGAATGACTTTGACAAGAGGAAGGTTATGAAGTTGGCAGTGAGAAAATAGGGAGCTCATGTGGTTTGCTTGCAAGAAACGAAGATTGCTTTGATAACGGATAAGGCGGTTAAAAGCATTTGGGGTAGTAGGTTTGTTGAATGGGAGGTGTTGGATTCTTTAGGGGCTTGTAGAGGTATTCTTATCATGTGGGATAGGAGATGGATGGCTAGGGTGGAGGTGTGGAGAGGGAGATTCTCCATCTCATGTACTTTTGTGATGGAGGAGAATGGTTTTAAATGCGCATTGTCCGGTGTCTATGGGCCGGTAGAGGTTAATGAGAGAGTTGTGCTGTGGGAAGAGCTCGGTGCTGTGAAAGACCTTCCTTGGTGTGTAGCCGAGGATTTCAACGTGGTTAGGTCGCCATCTGAGAGATCTACAGGTGGTAGATGGTCATCGGCTATGTTACAGTTTTCGGAGTTCATTGATGGACATCATCTTATTGATCTTCCTTTAGAGGACACTGTTTTTACTTGGTCCAACAGTAAGGATTCACCAACTTTCCCCGCTTGGATAGATTCTTGATCTCTGTAGAGTGGGAGGAGAAGTTCCTGAATGTGGTCCAGGCTACTTTGGCTAGGGTGACTTCTGATCATATTATGTTGGTTTTCGATTGTGGAGGTTTGAGGCCACGGAGTACTCCTTTTAGATTTGAGAACACGTTGTTGAGAGCGGATGATTTTCAAGGAAAAGTGGGGGGGTGGTGGGAGGAAGCCTCGATGATGGGTATTCAGAACTTCATTTTGGCTGGTAAGCTTCGTTTCTGAAGACGAAGCTTAAAAGATAGAATAAGGAGGTTTTTGGGAATTTGGAGTGAAGAAAGAACAGGGCTTTAGCTGAGATCCTTGTAATTAATGGGTTGGAAGAAGGGGGTGGTATCATTGACTCCCAACGGAATAGGAGAGCAGTTTGTCAGGCAGAGATTGCAGAGATTGCTGTTATGGATGAGATTTTGCAGCCCCAAAAATCCCGAGCTCTTTGGCTCAAGGAAGGAGACCGTAATACGAAGTTTTTCATAGACTTGCCAATGCCCACAAAAGGGGCAATCACATTAGGAGGATTCGAGTGGACGGAGTGGAGTTGTGTACAGAGGAGGAGGTGCGTAGGGGGATTGCTTCTTTTTAACAGAGGCTTTATTCTGAGCCGTTACAATGGAGTCCTCGATGGCCTTTATTTTGACTCAATTTCTATGATAGGGATGGCTTGGAAAATCCTTTTTCAGAGGAGATGTTAAGGGCGCTGAAGAGCTACAACGAGGATAAGGCTCCGGGTCCGGACGGATTTACTATGAGATTTTTGTTGGAAAGTTGGGAGGTGGTGAGACATGAGGTGATAGGCTCTATTACATGGACTCTTCAAAAGTAGTGAAGTACCCGTGTCGGACACATATCCCTCAGACATGGGTATAGGATATGTGTCCGACACTTTCGGTTGGACATGTACTTAAAAAGCATATCCTATCATTTAATTACATTATATTATTACTTTAAAATGAGTTAAATGTCTATATTGAACATTATATTAGATAAAAACATTACTTTACTCTGGAAAATAAAATAAAATAATTAATAAAATGAATAGTTAGCCGTGTCTGTGTGTCCTTGTGTTTGGAGATTTGATACGTCCGACGCATGGATATAGTCTGTCCGACACCCATACCCGAGTCCATGTAACATAGGTAATGAGTACATTTTATAAGTTTCATTCTAATGGGAGGTTCAAAAAGTCGCTGAATGCATCTTTCATTGCTCTCATTCCTAAGAAAGGAGTTGTGTGTGATGTTAAGGACTTTAGACCAATAATTCTGTTGGGTTACATTTATAAGCTTATTCCTAAAGTCCTTGCCTTGAGATTGAGGGAGGTTCTGGACGGTGTCATCTCTGAGTCTCAAAATGCATTTTTTGGGGGCAGGCAGATTCTGGATTCCGCTCTCATTGCCAGCGAATGTTTGGATTTTAGGTTGAAGAGCGGTGTTTCAGGAATATTGTGCAAGCTTGATATTAAGAAAGCATATGATCATGTTAGTTGGAATTTCCTGTTATATCTACTAGGGAGGATGGGTTTTGGGAAGAGATGGAGGAAGTGGATTGAAGCTTGTATTTCTTCATTTAGATTCTATGTACAGGTGAATGGGTCCCCATCCGGCTTTTTTGGAAGCTCTCGAGGTTTGAGACAAGGGGATCCCCTTTCTCCTTTTCTGTTTATTATTGTTATGGAGGCCCTTAGCAGATTGATAAGGAGGGCAATGGAGTTGGATTTTATCAGGGGATTCAGGATGGGCCCGGATTCAGGACAACAGATGAATATCTCTCATTTACTGTTTACGGACGATACTTTGGTTTTCTGTGATGCGGACGTGTCCAACTCAGATATTTAAGGTGTGTGCTAGTCAATTTTCAGGCAGTGTCCGGGTTGAAAGTTAACGTGGGTAAAAGTGTGCTTATCCCTGTGGAGGAGGTTCAGGAGGTGACTTCGCTTGCTGTGGTTCTAGGATGTGGAACGAGTTCCTTTCCTATTGTTTATTTGGGTTTGCCTTTGGGTGCTTCGTCCAGGAGGGTGAATGTTTGGGATCCAGTGATTCAGCAATTCGAGAAAAGATTGGCTGGATGGAAGAAGCAAAATCTTTCGAAGGGCAGGAAGGTCACTCTTGCGAAGAGCACCTTGTCTAGTCTCCCAACATACTTCCTATCCCTCTTTCAGATCCCGTGCACTATTGTTGAAAGAATCAAGAATCTCCAACGAAATTTTCTCTGAGGTGGTCGGGGTGAGGAGTTTAAGTATCATCTTATTAGGTGGAAGCATGTTTGTAGGCCTCTTCAGATGGGTCGTCTTCGTATTGGGAGGATGATCCCCTTTAATTGGGCACTCCTTGGGAAGTGGTTATGGAGATTTGGTAGTGAGAGACATCGTTTATGGAGGAGGATTATATCATGTCATTTTAGGGAGGAAAGCGAGGGATGGTCTTCCAAGCCGATTAGATCTGTTGCTGGCGTGGGAGTGTGGAAATTCATTCGAAAGGGATCGGACGAGCTCTTTAAGCATGTTAGGTTCAAAGTTCGGGAGGGCAGGGATGTCTGGTTCTGGGAGGATTATTGGTGTGGTGATCGCCGGTTGTCTCATTTGTTTCCAAGACTTTTTAGGATTGCTACAAATAGACATGCTATGGTAGCGGACTGTTATCAGCTTGATAGCGGAAGGCTTACGTGGGATGTGCGTTTTCAGCGTGCTTTTTAGGATTGGGAACTTAATGATGTTTTTTGCCTGTTGGATCTTTTGTATAGACAGGATGTGAACGGTAAAGGTTCTAATTCCTTGGTTTAGATGCCCTTTCCTCAGGGGAGGTTTGACGTTCATTCTTTGTTCACCTTACCGGTTTTCATGGTTCAAATTTCCAATGGAAGACAGTTTGGCATTCGAAGGCCCCTCTCAGGGTGGCTCTTTTTTGTTTGGACTGCAGCTTGGGGCAAGATTCTGACTCTGGACAATTTGAAAAAGAGAAGACAAATCACAGTCAACTGGTGTTGTATGTGAAAAATTATGGAGAGTATGTAGATCACCTTCTTTTGCATTGCCTTGTGGCGTATGATTGCTAAAGTCGTATTTTTGGTCTTTTTGGCATCCATTGGGTTATGCCTCAGTCTTTAAGGGAGTTGATTGACGTTTGGAGGAGCCAGAGGGTGGGGGCTCACTGTTGGAGGGTGACCCCCCTTTGTGTTTGGTGGAGTATTCGGAAAGAGCAAAATAAAAGATCTTTTGATGGGGAGGAAACCTCCATTGGGGATGTATTATTAGTTCTCCTTTTAGTTGGGTGATGGGGAGAAATTGTATACCTTTATATGAGATTGTGGACTTTTTGGGTTCTTTGGGTCCACAGAGCTTTATGTTGGTTTTGCTCCTTGTATATCTCTTGGGATGTGTTCCCCTTTTGAACTCTTTCTAATACATTTTTATCTATCAAAAAAAAAAAAGGTTATCGGATTGATTTAGAACAACATCCGATGCATTGACAAGTCAATTTCCAATGGGCGGCAAAAATCAAATGCTTTTTGAAAACTCACACGAAAGAAAAAATTATTTTACTTGTGCAGCAATTTATTTTGTTATGTCTAAACAAGTAAAGAATGATTTTATTCCATTAAAAAGTTACTTGAGTAATATATATATCTACACACCCACATAAATATCTTAGATATTCCCAAAGAGAAGTCTTATTTATCAATAACAAATATGTTTGCTGATCAAACTAGTATTTATTGGGGGAAAAAAGACGAGGAATAAAGTATCAAAAGCAAAACCCAAACAAGAACTACATTCATTTCTTACAGAGCCAGGAGATCGTCACTCCCTTTTGTTGGTGACAAATAATTTGACAACTGAAAAATATAGGTGTTGTATAACATTTCATATGACATACCGTTTTACAATTACGTCAAAGAGTTGGCCATACTGCCCATTTACATCATAGGGGACGTACTCAGGATCTTCATTAGCAAGTAAGCTCTTATACTCCTCCAAAGAGATATATTTAACAGCTGAGACTTCTGATTCCTGCAAGAAATGAATAGCAAGTAAGCTCTTACACTCCTCCAAGCCTAAATGTACATATTATATGCCTCTCAAAGCATCACTTCTCATTAGAATGCAACAGAAAAATAGTTGCAAAGGCCCAAATTGCGGCAACTGGTTATAAAACTTGGACACCTTCATTTACAAAAATAAATTTAGTGACTAAGACATAATAATGTTCCAAACCTGCAAGAATAGCAAAACCAAAAAGATCTTGAGCAATGGGACAAATGGGTGAGTGCATGCAGATTTATCTACCCGGAAATAAAAGAGAGAGAAGGGGCGAGAGAACGAGAGAGAGAAGGTCGTAAACCAAACCACTGTTCATCACACAGGCCCTCCATCACTCTTATTCACCAAGCTTCCAACCTTACAGCCCTTCAACCTAAAACCCAACCAAAAAAAAAACCACACTCAAACAAAATACCCCAAATAAACCCATTGTTCCTCGTCCTTCAGTCCATATGCCCAAACACTATTGAAGATTTACTGGAGGAATCAATGAAGGAAAATACTCCAGTATTGATGCTGTTTCCTATTATTCAAGATTTACTGATTACTGGAGGAATGAGTGGAGAAAATCCTCCAGTATTGATGTTATTTACTAATTTCCATCTCTTTCCATTCTCATAATTTCTTCTCCTATATAGAGGAGACTCCACCATTGTATTGTGTATGAGAAGAGAGAGTATAATGAAAGCTATGTAGCCCTTTGGGCTTTGTGTACGCAGATGTAAGCCCTAGTGGTTGACCCACGTATATCCTTGCCTTGTGTTCTTCATACTTTATTTTTCTCACTAATTTTAACACAGTATCAGAGTAGGCAATGTCTTGTGTTCATTTCTCTCCTTTCATTAGAGCCATTTTTTGGTTCTTATCTCGGATCTCCAGATCCATTTTTATTGATGTCGTCTTCTTACACCTCTTCAACAATCGAGGTTGCTGCTACTCATCTCAGATCTTCGGATCCATTTTTATTGAGGTCGTCTTCTTATATCTCGACACCAATCGAGGCTGCTGCTACTCGTCTCGGAACTCTGGATCTATTTTTGTTGAGGTCAACTTCTTACACCTCTTCATTAATCGAGACTGTTGCTACTTGTCTCGGATCTCTGGTTCCATTTTTATTGAGGTCGTCTTCTTACACCTCTTCATCAATCGAGTGTGCTGCCACTCGTATCGGATCTTCAAATCCATTTTTATTGAGGTCTTGTTGTACCTCTTTAACATTCACCCTTGCTGCTACTCATCATCTCCGTGACAAGTTGGGCATTCATGCCATTTATGCTCTAATTGTTGACTTTAAGAGATAATCCAAATAAGAGTAAAGTAGAAGATGATGATGATGATGAAGAATAAGAAGAGAAGGAAGAGGAGGAGGGAAAGAGAGAGAGAGATGCGGAAAGAGAGAAAGAATGAAAGAATCTTTTCATCCTTCCACCACATTCTATTTATACTAAGAAGTTTCAAAAATTACGCATAAGCACCCTACATTGTATAAGTAATCACAAATAAGTCCCTGACAACTATCCCCCTCAAGTTAGTGAAAAAATATTTATCATGCCCAAGTTGACTAACATATTTTGCAAGCAACTCTTGCTCGCACCCTTGTCAAAACATCAGCAACCTAATCAAGTGTTATTGTATGGAGTACAATTTTTTTTTTTTTTTTAATCAAATAAAATGTATTAGAAAGCGTTCAAAAAAGGAACGCATCCCAAGAGATATGCAAGGAACCAAACCAAAATACAACCCTATAGACCCACAGAACCCAAAAAGTCCACAATCTCATCTAAAGATATGCAATTTCTCCCCATCACCCAACTAAAAAGAGAATTAATAATAGCAAATTTCAGCGCCCCAATGGGGGTTTCCTCCCCATCAAAAGATCTTTTATTTCACTCTTTCCAAATGCTCCACCAAACACAAAGAGGGGTCACCCTCCACCATACACAAGCATGGCCCCCCACCCTCTGGCCCCTCCAACCGTCAATCAACTCCCTTGAAGACCGAGGCATAACCCAATGGATGCCAAAAAGACCAAAAATACGACTCTAGCAATCATAGGCCACAGCACAACGCAAAAGAAGGTGATCCACAGATTCTCCATCATTCTTACACATACAACACCAGTTGCCTGTCTTTTCTTTCTCAAATGTCCGAAGTCAGAATCTTGCCCAAAGCCGCAATCCAAACAAAAAATGCCACCCTGAGAGGGGCCTTTGAACGCCAAACCGTCTTCCACGGGAAATTAGAACCATGAAAACCGGCGAGGCAAAGGAACAAAGAACAGACATCAAACCTCCCCTAAGGAGAAGGCATCCAAACCAAGGAATCAAACCATCTATCATCCAAATCCTGTCTATACAAAAGATCCAACAGGCCAAGGACATCATCAAGTTCCCAATCCTGAAAAAGAACGCCGAAAACACACATCCCACATTAGCCTTCCGCAATCAAGCCGATAACAGTCCTCTACCATAGCATGTCTATCTGCAGCAATCTTAAAAAGTCTTGGAAACAAACAAGACAACGAGCAATCCCCACACCAATAATCCTCCCAGAACCGGACATCTACAAATCAGCCTAAGACGAAGCGTTTCCTTGATGAAGTGTCGATCAACTTTAATGTGCTTTGTCTTGTAATGTTGAACTGGATTGTGGGCAATGCTGATAGCAGCCTTATTGTCACAATACAAAATCATTGACTCGCGAACAGGGTAACCCAACTCATCCAACATAATTTGTAGCCATAACAACTCACAAACTCCATGTGCCATGGATCTGAACTCAACCTCTGCAGTAGAACTAGCTACTACATATTGTTTCTTGCTTCGTCATGAAACAAGATTACCTCCAACAAATGTGAAATACCCTGTCCAATCAGCTATATAGGCTTCAACGCGGAAGTGGCTATGACGGCCAAACAATATCCCCTTACTAGGTGAACCCTTGAGGTAATAGAGAACATGATGAGTTACCTCAAGATGAGGTGTACGTGGAGCATGCATAAACTGACTAATCACACTAACCACGTAGGTAATATTCGAGCGTGTGAGATAGGTAAATCAATCTTCCAAACAATCGATGAAATCTTCCCACATCATCTAACGAGTCGCCATCCACATCATCTAACGAGTCGCCATCCACATCATTAAGCCTATGGTTCTGCTTAATGGGAATACCAATAGGTCTAGCTCCAAGCGTACCAGTTTCTGCCAACAAATCTAACACATACATTAGTTTAGAAATGAATACCCCTTTCTTGGATCTACACACCTCGATGCCAAGAAAGTATCCAATGATCCGATATCTTTAACCTCAAACTCTATCCCCAAGAATGACTTCATTCGATGAATTTCTTCTGGATCATTTCTAGTGATAATAATATCATCAACGTATACAATAAGGGCAGTGGTGTGCTTCTTGATGAAAAGAGTATGATCTGTCTGATTTTGTGTACCCTGCTCTCTTGATAGCAGTGTTGAACCTCTCAAACCAAGAACACGGACACTGATTTAACCCATACAAGGCTTTATTTAGCTTGCACACTAAATTCTGACCATTGGCAAGTTTAAACCCTAATAGCGTCATATACACCTCTTCCTCCAAGTCACCATGAAGGAAAGCATTCTTTACATCTGTAAAGGCCAAGACAAATTAGCTGCCAAAGAAAGAAGGATACATATAGAGTTCATCTTGGCAACTGGAGCAAATGTGTCCTGATAATCAATCTTATACGTCTGTATGATATTTTATTACTTTATTGTGTAGACCCATTTGTAGCCTACTGGTTTCTAACCCCTAGGTAATAACACAATACCTCAAGTACCATTCTTCTCAAGAGCCTTCATTTCCCCAAGCATAGCTTCCTTCCACAGAGTTTGACTTGGAGCATTTGAAACACTAGAAGCAGAAACCGACGAGATAGACAAAATCAAAGCACGATATGTTGGAGATAGGGCATCATAAGATACAAAGTAAGATATGAGATGTTTTGTACAACTACGAACACCCTTGCAAAAGGCAATAGGGACATCAAGATCAACAGGCATGTTACTGGGAGTATCAATGTCAACTAAGGCATTATGTGGATCGAGGGAAACTTCTTGGTCCTGGGATGAGTCAATGGCTTGTTTTGCCCTCTCCTAGTATAGACAATTGGCTGCTTTCCTTGCTGCAAATCACTAGTGTAAGGAGGAGTAGACACAATCGCCTGAGTGAGAAGCTCCCCCTGAATGGGAACATACAATGGAAAGGGACATTCCCTCTGAGTAAAAGATGAATTCTCCACATGAATTGTAGTCTCCCCCCGTAGAGAATCCCGAGCAAGGCAAAAGCAAAAGGAACAGACTCGAAGAATGTAAAATTCATGGAGACAAACTGACAACAAGTGGTAGGGTTATAACATCGATACCCTTTCTGAGTGGAGGAGTATCCAAGAAAGACACACTGGATTCCCTTAGGGTCCATTTTTTCCTTGCAATGATGAATATGAACATAACAAACACAACCAAACACTTTCGGAGAGACAGTAAACAAAGGCAGTGCGACGATGCAAGACAAAGAAAGGGAATTTATAGCCAAGAACCCTAGAAGGTATGCGATTGACAAGGTATGCACCCATTAAGGTTGCATCAGCCCAATAACTTTTAGGCACTACCATCCCAATTAGAAGAGAACGGGTTACCTCTGTAATATGATGATGTTTTCTTTCAACTAAACCATTCTGTTGTGGTGTATCAGCACAGGAGGTTTGATGGGCAATCTCGTTATCAGTAAAAAAGGAGGAAAACAACCATACATAAACTCTCCTCCATTATCAGATCGAAGGATTTTGAGGGGACAACCAAATTGAGTACATACCATCTTATGAAAGGTTTTAAAGATGGAATGAACTTCAACTTTGGTTTTCATAAGATAAAGCCAAGTATAACGACTAAAGTCATCAGCAAACACAACAAAGTAGCTAAAACCAAGTAAAGAAGTAAATTCAGGACCCCACACATCAGAATGAACAAGCTGCAAAGGAATTGTACTTTCATTAATACTAGTAGGATAAGAAACACGTCATTGTTTGGCAAGAACACATGTTTCACAATTAAACTTAAAAGATTCAATAGAAGCAAACTAGGGAAGCACATGCTTCAAAAAGGAATAGGTAAATGACCGAGTCTACTATGACATTGCATCAATAGATCTTGATTGACATTACTATTTCTAACACTAGATTGATTTGCAAGATAATAAAAAGTTGGTCTTGCGTCCAGCAAATACAAGCCATTGTCCCCACATCCACTTCCAATCGTCTTCCTGTGCCCAAGTCCTGAAACACACAGTGAAATGGAAAAAAGGTTACACTATAATTCAAGTATTTTGTAATGTGACTGACAGAAATGAGGTTATTGGTAAACTTTGGGACATGAAGAACATAGGATAAGGTAAAATTAGGAGAGGCAAAAAAAAAGGTTACACTATAATTCAAGCCTTTTGTAATGTGACTGACAGAAAGGAAGTTATTGGTAAACTTTGGGACATGAAGAACATATGATAAGGTAAGATTAGGAGAGGCAAAAACAATGGAGGAGAAGGTGTCATCAGCCACTCTAACCTGATTCCTACCAAATTATAAACTATACGAAGAGTCAAATCAATGATCCAGGGTAGCTCACCAGATAATGTGGAAACATGATGTGCCGAATGAAGGTTACCTACCGAGCAAAGTTAGAGGTGGAAGTGAAGGCATTTTGAGCTAGCAGATGTGGAAGAGCGTCAACTTTAACCCCGAACAAAGAGCTCGGTGGCCCTGAGAAAGCATGACTAATAGGAGCAGTCTCATGTGTTGTCGATAACCTCGTAAATGGACCAGGCCTTGGCCTAGCATTCGCATGAATAGGGGTAAAGCTAGAGTAGCGTGATCGTGTAGATTCCAGCATGTTTCCCTAGTGTACGCTGCCCACAGTGATCACACCTCAACTTGCTCTTATCATGCTGCTTCCCACCTTTTGGAGGATTGGGTTTGTTCCATTGTTGTGTGGCAAGAGCAAACTTTTGAGACAATAGTACTTTTGGCCAGGCTTAGTGTATACTAGTGCATACATAGCCTTCATTCTACTCTCCTGAGCCTAGATATATGAAAACACCTCGGCTGGATACATGCTTAACACTTGTAAGTTGGGATAATTGTTTTTCGGATGTAGACCACCCAAGTACTCATAGATTCGATCCCTTTCTACCATAGTCCGAAATGCTTTAACATCAACTGCAGACACACGGGTATGTAATCTTGGTAGTGATCTAACTCTTCCCATTTACCACGCAGAGTGTGGTAATATGTAGCAAGAGTTTGGTCTTCCTGCTTGAATCTTAAAATATCTTGTTGAAGCTAATACAGTTTTGCAAAATTCATAAACGACGAAGAAAAATCCGTTGTTGCAGAACCACACAAACATGAAAAAGCCACTGATCGAGACTCCAATCGATCAAAAACGGGTAAAAAAAACTATTTCCTTGCAAACAAATCCCATCATGGAATTTCTTCAAAACCCTTCACACCTGCTAGGGTTTACACAAACTTGCCCTAGGATTTCAACTAGACAACCTAGAGCTTTACAAACCATGCTCTAATACACATTGACTTTAAGAGATAATCAAAACAAGAGTAAAGTAGAAGAAGATGATGATGATGATGATGATGATGATGAAGAAAAAAAAGGAGAAGGAAGAGGAGGAGAGAGAAAAAAAAAAAAAAAAAAAAGAGATGGGGAAAGAGAGCAAGCATGAAAGAATCCTTTCATCCTTCCACCACATTATATTTATACTAAGAAGTTTCAGAAATTACCCATAACACACTACATTATATAAATAATAACAAACAAGTCCCTGGCAACACTAACTTGAGAGGGAGTATTGAAGATTTTTTTTTTTTTTTTGATAAGAAAATATATTAGAAAAACGTTCAAAAGGGGAACGTGTCCCTAATACAAGAAGAAAAAAGGTCTAAGGACCAATAAAATCCAAGAGATCAAAGAAATTATCAATCGAGGAGCATGCATTTCCTCTTACATAACAGAACAAAGAATGAAGAATATGAATTTTTAAATTAGCTAAAGACGATTCTTTTCCTTCAAAGGATCTGTTATTCCTCTCCTGCCACAAACACCACCAGACACAATGTGGAACAATCTTCCAATAATCACAAGCTTGTTCTTTAACAGGGTACCTTTTCCAAGCGTTAATCAATTGTGAGGAGTGCTTAGGCATTACTCAAAAAACGCCAAACATGCAAAAAATAAAACTCCAACAATCATATGCCATAGGACAATGCAAAAGAATGTGATCCACGGATTCACTATCAACTTTACATAAACAACACCAATTAACAATGATGTTGCCTCTCTTTCTCAAATTGTCCAATGCCAAAATCTTTCCCAATGTGGCAGTCCAAACGAAGAATGCAATTCGAAGAGGAGCTTTAGAACGCCAAACAGACTTCCAAGGGAACTCAGGACCAACGAAATTGGACAAACATAAGAACATAGATCAGACGCCATACCGACCATGAGCTAAAGGAACCCACAAAATATTATCACACCCTCTACCAATATCCTTCTGCCTATACAACGTATCCAAAAAAACACAAGCTTCCTCCATTTCCCAATCCTGAAAGGGCCGCCTAAACCGCACATCCCACGTAACTCCATTGTTATCAAGTTGATAACAATCAATCACGTAGACATGCTTATTGGCTACAATACTGTAAAGTCTAGGAAAGGAGTGAGGCAGCAACTGATCACCGCACCAAAGATCCTCCCAAAAACGAACATGGTTAAGTCTGGGGAGTATTGAAGATTTACTGGAGCCATGGAGGAAAATCCTCCAGTATTGATGTCGTTTCCTATTAGTCAATGTTGGAAATTGTCTCTCAAATTCCTATTCTAATTAGGATTTTATTTTAGACTTGTATTCTATTAGGTAATTTCTTATTTAGCAAGTCTTGGCCTCTAAGGATTTGTAATCCTTGTCCAACAAGGAATTGTGTTTGTAACTCTACAAATAGGTACATATATTGTGGGTTGAGACTCATGAGATTGAGAGAGATGTAGTCTCATGAGAGAGTTAATGGGTAGAGGTAGTATATGGGTTGGTAGAGTAGGAAAAACACCGGTAACACTGGTAGCGAGGACATAGGCTCGTGGAGTGGTAGTGTTGATACTCTAATGTTGTAATATCTCTACAAATCATAGTGGAATCTCTTCTCATCCATGGACGTAGGCCGGTTTTGGCAGAACCATGTATATCTTTTGTTTGTGTGCGATTGCTTTGTTGGCCTTCTTTGAATCTTTCTTATTCGCGCGCCTCCACTGCCCAACAAATTGGTATCAGAGCCAAAGGTGAAGGAAATCCAAAAAACACAAGAAGTCTCAACATGTGCAGCAACAAGCTTCAGTTGTAAGTGGAGCCAATCGGCTTGGTTACACGGCATGGAGCTCGAGTAGTCAAGGTGGAGCCTTGGAGGTTTAATTGATCGAGCAATGTATAATGTGGAGGACAATCGTAGTTTTGCAGGAGTATCCTCAAGATTGAAGCTGCAAAAGAATTGTCATGATCAATGCCATGGAAAACGATAATTGGCTGGATGGAATTTGAGTCAAGGTGGAGATTGTTGAAAATTGTGTCTCAAATTCCTATTCTAATTGGGATTCTATTTTAGAGTTGTATTCTATTAGGTAATTTCTTATTTGGCAAGTCTTGGCCTCTAAGGAATTGTAATAATTGTCCAACAAGGAATTATGTTTGTAACTCTATAAATAGGTACATATGTCGTGGGTTAAGACTTATATGATTGAGAGAGATATAGTCTCATGAGGGAGTTGATGGGTAGAGGTAGTATATGGGTTGGTAGAGTAGGAAAAACACCGGTAACACTAGTAGTGAGGAAATAGGCTCGTGGAGCGGTGGTGTTGATACTCTATTGTTGTAATATCTCTACGAATCATAGTAGAATCTCTTCTCATCCATGTATATCTTATGTTTGTGTGTGATTGCTTTGTTGGCTTTCTTTGAATCTTTCTTATTCGCGCGTTTCCACTGCCCTAACATTCAAGATTTACTGATTAGTGGAGTGAGTGGAGAAAAATCCTCCAGTATTGATTTTATTTCCTATTTTCTATCTGTTTCTATTCTCATCATTTCTTCTCCTATATACAGGAGCCTCCACCATTGTATTGTGTACGAAATGAGATATCAGATGAAAATAGAGAGTATAATGAAAGATATGTAGCCCTTTGGGCTTTATGTACCGTGGATGTAAGCCCTAGTGGCAAAACCACGTATATCCTTGACTTGTGTTCTTCATACTTTATTTCTCTCAATAGTCACTTTCACCTAAACCCCACGCAACCCTACTATTCATCCACTACCATTATTGCAACCTCAAGTGATTTCATCAAATCAGCCCCAAATTCAGTGCTAAAACACCCAACCAAAAATCATCAGCACCACAAAACCTAGACAAACATCACTGTTTCGAGCCAACCAAAGCCCACCGCCTTTGTTCATCATACACAAACCCTAACAGGGGAAACTCTTGATGATTATTGAATAATATTGAGTAGGGACCTATTGATTTCTTCACCCCCAAATTCTTCTTCTCTCCTCTCTTCTTATCAATTTCCTTCTCTCTTCTGGCTCTACATCAGTCACACTACTCTGTCCTACATCATTGGGCCTCCAACCCGCCAACCCGCCTGAGTTTTACCCTACCCACCATGCATTGCCACCCTCAATTTGTGGGAAGACTTGTCTTGGGATTTAGTGCTTGATCTCGCTCACTTAGCCCACCAATGGCACAACCTTGCCAAAAATGAAAGTTAGCACCACCAATGGTCCATATTTGCCAAGTGTGTCATGCCTAGCACATGGCTTAGGATAAGCACCCACAAGTGCTGCCCACCCTTGAGACGAGACAGAAGGAAACTCGTTACCCCCTTATGTCTGCAAAATATAAATTTGTCACTCTGTGATTATAAAAAAGTGATCCTGCTTAAGGAGTTATAATCCCATACTTAAAGATTGCAACCAAGTCCAAGTTCCACAAACTAAATGTCAATGTGCTAGTTGTTAAAACTAGCTGCCCACAAATAGTGCGTGATTATTCCACCAACTCCCACAGTCCCACAAGCTGCCACCAGACTCATGAAGACACAAGCACCATGCCAAAGGCATGTCGATGCCACACCAAGGTTGTTAATGGGCTAGGCATGCCTCAGCCAGTATGGCATGAAGGTGGGAGGCCACAAAGGTCACCCCCCATTGAACTGTGGGGGCAATTACTAGCCCCCTTACAAACGAGAAGTTATGGATCGAAAGAGGAGATACCCTCCATGTTTGAGGAGCTGTAATGGCCCCTAAAAAATTGTACACACCTACAGATCACAAACTATCTATTCATAGGTCTTCCTATGACTTCTTGCTCTAATATTTTTCCTAAAAAAATGAATACCTTCCATCACAACTTTTGCTTATTTAGAAAAGTCTAACTCAACCACTAAAGAAGCCAAACTTCACAGTCCGAGGCATGGCATGCCTTTCCCATGCACATTCCCTAATAGGCGCTTATTTAGGGTATAAAAAGCAGTCCACGTAGATGTCAGGTAAGTGAACTTCCTACTGGTATATAAGTAAGTTGTTAATCAATTATTTTGTTAAATAAGACATGTAAATACTTTGCAAAGATGCTTCCTGGATCAAATAAAATAAGATGGAAATCTAGTGAGTAAAACAAAGAGAATCCTATTGCAACAGCAACAGATGCTTCATGCTGCCATAAAGGATTATTTTATGATGCACACATTTATTACTAAACTATGAGGATTAAATTCATTAACAGTATTCTAACTGAGCTAGTGTCATGCATTAACCTCCTCACCTGAAGAGTAAAGGCCTCCAAAGGAATTGGAGCCAAAGTTGTCACTAGATATACATCATTGAATTCATTATTGATGAATTTTCCATCATTTATGACACTGCAATCAAATGAAAAGCCAATAATAGTTAATTGACTAACAGAAGTTTCAGGTCTAAACAGGCCAAAGCTTAAAGTGGCAAGTTTGCCACCTTAAAACAGAATAATGGCACAAGCACAAGAGCACCTGAAGTAACATTAAGTTTCATGAACCAAACATATATTCAAGGAAATAATCATGACATAAGTCAACTAAAATCATGCGACATGGATACATGCAACAAATGAATGTGACACAGTGAACATGGTCAGACAAAGGAAACTTCTCGTTGACAAGAGGGCATGAACAAGTCAACACACGCCTATAAATAATACACAATGATAACTGCAGGGAAATCTTAACCTTCACAGTTTGTTAAGCCACTTTTGACCCAAGTGTAAATAACTTTAAAGGCCTGTATTTTAATTCTCCTTAACAAATAATTTTCTTTTTCCCACTAACGGGCTGTGTTTCAAGTACTACACTGAGCATTAGACCAAATCACAGCTTGGGTCTGCCACATACTAGTTTTGATATTACAATAATGTTCATGATGCACGCTTTCAAAATTTTAAAGTTTCACATGAGAGCCAGAAAATAAAACAACCAAGGCTCCTCTTTAGATATAATCTGCTTCCTTGCATGAAGGCAAAACTAACTAGGCAAGGCTGCAAATTGATCCCTTGAATAAACACTCTAAACCTCATCCAAGTTTTTCTCATCATCTTACCCCAACAGATACAAATCAGCTGCTAGTCCTGCTCTGACACAACCCAAAGCAGTGCCATCATAATTTCCAGTACAACTTGAAATCCTCAGCCGTAATCATAAACCAATTTTCTCCATCGCATGACCCCATAAGTAATGGGTCGGAGTTTATGGGCATACCCTCCTTCCCTCCCTTGAGGTAATAATTTAAGTATTATCAATATGAACTATTTACCTGAACGACTATGAGGACACTTTGAAGAAAAGTAGTTAAGAGCAAAATTGTCCTGGCACTACCGTGAAAAATTATCAGACAAATGGAAGGTAAAAAATTTGCACATTGAGATCTTTTGATTTCTTTTCTTCGGAAATACAATCTCTTTTGACTTATCCGAAAAAAAAAAAAATTATATATACAATCTCCTTTGCACATATATTAGAACTGTGAGGATCAAACATGTAAAAGGGTTTTTACTTCCCAAAGGTAATATAAATAAATAAAGAGATTTCTGAGACATTTTTCTTAAACATGTTATAAGATTTCTTTTTGTCCCCTCTTATTCTTTCATTCCTCCTATTAGAGCTCAAATCAAAAAACCTTCGTCCCAACTATTCAAGACAATAATTAAAACTAATACCATCTAAACATTAAAGAGGAACAACAGCAGATATAACAGTTATAAACTTCATAATATATAATTTCCTAAACTGAAAACACGGAGTAAAATGTATCTGTGGCTTCAAAATAAATAAATAAAACTATAAAAAAGCAAAACCTCAAACAATTGACTAATATTGCATTACAATAGTTTGTATACATATACAAAATATATATATATATATATATATATATATGATAAAAAGAATAAAGAGGAATTTTAATGCCACCATAAAACAAAGGGATTTGATCTACCAACCACTCTTCAAGAAAAACAAATATCAACTCAAATGCCTCCTTCGGAAGGATTACACCAAGCTCTTCATGGAGCTCCCTCCTGCACACAGAAAATTGTAATAATGTATCAATTACAAGTGTGGTTAAACAAGCAATGAGTTACAACACAAGAAGCACCACAAAGACAGCACTGACTCAATCATAACATCGTTGTTAAGTGAAAAATGAAACAGCAAACCATAAAAGAAATATAAATTTCTATGCGGATTTGAAATTCTAGAAAAGAAATTATATTTGGATAGTCAAGGATATATATATATATATATATATATATATATATATATATATATATATATCACCAAATCCAGGTAATAAAAGAAAGGTGCTTTGAATGGAATCCTCTCAGCGGAAGTTTATTAAAGACCTGGAGTAATCAACAAGTTCTGATTTGTCGGAAAATTCTGGAAAAATAAATTCAAATATATATATTTTTGACAAATATAATTTCATTAAAAGCATTCAAAAGAGGAGAGGCGCCCAAAGAACAACTACACAGAGCCTAACAACACCCAATACACTCTCAAGCTACCCAGTACCCACAGAAACCATAAATTCCTCTGAAGATTTACAATTCCTCCCATAAACCCAAAAGAAAAATAATAATAATAATAAATCCATATGGAATGCTTTAGTGCCCAATTAGGAGTTTCCACTCCATCAAAAGATCTCCTATTACACTCTCACCACAGTTCTCATTACACACGCAGTTTGCAGCAAACCCACTGTACACTGACGCCAAGCCTCAAGCATGCCCACCGTGGAATCTAAAACAACCCAATAGATACCACAGATAGCAAAGAACATGGTCCATACATCCTGAGACACTTGACAAAGCAAAAGAAGGAGATTCACAGACTCCTCGTCTCTTTTGCACATGCAGCACCAATTTACTACAATCAACCGCCTCTAAACTCAAATTATCAATCTTCAAGATTCTCCCCAAGGCTGCCGTACATGCAAAGAACGCTACTTTCAGAGGAGCTTTTGTCCTCCAAACTGCCTTCCACGGAAACGAGTCCCCCCAAGCATCTAGAAGCCCCCAGTAAAATGATCCCACATCAAACTCCCCACTGCAGGAATCCACCCAAATCCACCCTTCAAGGTCCTCCCCCCTTCCACTCTCTAGTGATACAACAAAGCCAAATAACACCAACCCCAAGGGGTTGGCTTAGGTGGATAAGTGTTATGACAAACGCGGCAAACCCAAGCAACAATCATGAAACACAACAGAAAGTAAACCTGCCACACACAAATAACACAAAGATTTAGAGCCTGTTTGGATTGGCTTTTCAAACTCTACTTTTGGCTTTTTGAGATTGGAAGCTGTTTTGAGTAGGTTTGGGTAGTTTTTCAAAAGAGCTTTTGGGACTTAGAAGAGCGTTTTGAGGAAGCTGGTATCCCCCGGCTTCTCCAAAACGCTCTTCCTACAAAAAAGGGGAAGCCAAATGGGTGATTTAATGAAACTTTTAAAATCCCAAGCGTACCTTTTTTATTACTTACTAAAAAAATAAATTTCCAAATGTGTCCCAATTATTTCTTCCAAAACCCTAATGCAATCAAGACTCTTGCTCTGCCAGAGACAATATACTCTGAAATTTCCTCTCAGGCAACCAAGTTCATCCTTTGTTTCAGATATAACTGAAGAGGACCATCAGCAGCTGCCACTAATTTTTTAATTTGAAACTTCATTATTGGTATTCTGATTTTCTCTTATCATATGATGTTGAATGTCAATCACATTGCAGTTTAGAATCCAGTGACAATGCCGAGAGAAGGGCCAATATACGAAATTTGGAATGAGAGTGGCTTGGTATAATTGAGGATGTAATTTGCAGAAACCCATTGATTAAACTTGTCAGATTTGAGAGGTATCCAACATGTTTTATGCCCGCTTAAGAATTATTATTATTATTATTATTATTATTTGACTCTACTTGAATGAAGTATACTCTGCAATATTAGCAGTCAGAAAAGACAGCTTGGTTTTAGCTTCTTTTGGATTCTGCCATAAGAATAAATCTTAGATTTTTGCCTCTTTAATTATTTATTTTGGGGAGGTTGGATTTGTCATCTAATGACCCACACTTATTATTTTTTCACGGATCCAATTGATGAATTCCTGATTGATGGACTGATTATGAAGAAGGGAAATTCCAGAATTTGTCCAAAGCATCAGAGAACGGCAGAGCATGAAAGCAAATTAAACCATTCACAAGTTACGTACTGAACTATTGTTTTATTTAAAATATCATATGATCTTGTAATTGGGTTTTTGTTTCAAAATTTATTTCATTACCCCAGTCATAGATATTGATTTTAGTTTCCAAGGAGTCGAACTAAAAAAGATATTGGTATAAAAATTTGCAAAAACTATTGAAATATGTCCCTTAATCATACCTTGCATAAATACTTGAGAGTATGCTATGAAAGCTGCTGATTATATTCAAGAATTATTAATATTATAATATTATTCAACATCAGTTGTATTCAATTTGTTGAGTTTTTAAGCAAGTGGGTTCAGTATATATGTGGCAATGACTTTTTTTCTAAAACAAAATGCCCACTAAAATGTGTTTGATATGTTTACTAATGTCAAGGAAGAACAACATGCTTTACTGCAGAAGATTCAAGAGTCACTTGTTCCTGAATAGCAGCTTTGTTAAATCATTGTGGACATGATTTGACAATCTTATAAAGTGGAGTCTTCCTCCGGTTCAGATTTCATGCACTTGCTGATTGGTTTTCCAGTAAATTGAGAGGTAAAGCTTTGAGGAGCAAGTTGAGCAACATGCTGTTTACTGCTATTGTGCATGCTACATGACTAGATAAGAACCAAAGGATACATAGAGGTTCAAGGAGGGAAGAATTTGATCTTTGCTAGGAACCAAAGCATTTGAGCAACCATGGTTATATCTTTGATACTCTTGAGAAAGCAAACATCATATTAGAAGATATTATTGTTTTGAGTTTGTTTTCTTTTATATGAGTAGTCCTGTCTATTCTTAGTTGTATTTGCTTTGCTGGTTCTGAGAGGGTATGCTCTATTATGTGTACTTTTATTTCATATTTTTAATAGTACAATACATTCAGTAAAAAAAAAAAAGAAAAGAAAAATAATAACAACACAAAAAAAAAATATCCATTGGGCTAACAACTTTCATTTATTTTCAGTTAAAGGTAAAAGGAACAAGTAAGAGTAATAGAAATACAAGTAAAAAAGTTTATTAATAATTCAGAACTCTCATCCGGGATAGTAAGGGCAAAATAGTTATATCAATAGTAAAAGAGTTTCTGCAAATGTTTTGCCAAACAAGCAAAAAAAAACTCTTCTGACATTAAAAACTCTTTAAATTATAGTTCCCAAATACTGACGTAGAAGCCAAATAGAAGTGATAGCTTCCGCTTCTCTTTTTCTTCTACGTAAAAGCAGAAGCAAAAGCTATGCCAAACGAGCCCTTAGCATGGTTCGGCAAAGCCTACATCCATAGTGAAGATCCGACAAAAGTTTTCATTATGCGAAAATCTGGAGATTACAATTTTTAGCCCCCAAACCCTAACTCTCGCTCTCACTTTCTTTTCTGCAATTTTCAATATCTCTCTATATCCCACTCCAAACCCTAAACGCCTTTATATATCGGGCTACAAGAGAGTACTAATTACGGTCCACGACCCACAAGCAAAAACTAGTCAAAATGCTCATTTAACGGGTCATCGGGTCGTAAATGGGTCGCAACGCAACCCAACACCAAATTCGGGCCTCAACATCACAATTAGAACTTGGCCCTAGTGCCTCAACAAGCATTGGGTCTAAGGTTCGACTCCTCATGATTGTTGGAGTTTGATGTTTGGCCTGTTTGGTATTCATTGGGTCATGCCTCGGTCATCTTGGGAGTTGTTAGATATGTGGAAGGGCCAATGGGTGGGGGCTCAGGCCAGAGTTTTTTGGAGTGTGACCCCTTTTTGTATTTGGTGGAGCCTTTGGAGAGAGCGTAATGGAAGATCTTTTGAGGGAAAGGAATCCTCCATTGGGGTGTTAAAATTTTCTATCATTTGTAATTTGTTTTGTTGGGGTCAGGGGAGAGACTACTCCTCTCTTGAGGATACTGTTGATTTTATGAGCTCTTTGAGTTCATAGGCTCCGTTTTGTCTTTGTATAGTTTGGGACGCGTTCTCCTTTTGAACGCTTTTAATACAATTTACTTATCAAAAAAAAAAAAAAAAAAAAAAAAAAAAAGATCACTAACATCGTACAACTCCCAAACCTGAAAAGGCCAGTCGAAGTGCACATCCCAAATCACCACCCTATTATCAAGACAATAACAGTTAGTAACTGTTTGTCCACTGCAATCCTAAAGAGTCTCAGAAAAGTGCAAGCAAGGGACCAATCTCCACGCCAAACATCCATCAAAACCAAATAAACCTCCCGCTCCTCACCCTGAATCTAATATCTTCGAAAACTAGTTCCAACCTTTCCGAATGAATTTTCAACACCCACCCTTCCCAGAGAGACCTCACCTCCTTTGAGCTCCAACCACCCCTCCTCCCCTACTTTTCTAGAAAAACGTCCTCCACCCCAAGCCTCCAAGGCCCCCTCCCCCCTCTCTTCCCCAATTAACTAAAATGAACTTGACGTCATCACCCAAACCACCCCACAAAGAGTTTCCTTGCAACTTCTCATTACTCTTCACAATAGAGGCAGGAATCAAAAACAAAGATAAGAAATAAGCTGGAAGACTCTAAAGGGTCCTTTTCATTAGAGTTAACTAACCCCGTTCGAGAGATATTGCTTCTTCTAATTCACAAGCCTCCTCTCACACCTCTCCACCACTAGATTACAAATGGCTGCCCTCAATTGAGCACCCCAACGGCAAACCCAAATAAGATATCGGAAAGGCTCCTATCCCACACCCTAGAATGTCAGCCAAAGCAACAATCTCCCGAACCTCCCTCACTGGAACTCACTCTTCCCAATATTAATCATCAGACTAGAGACAGCTTGGAAACACGCCAACACACATCTCAAGTGCCTCAACTGATTTT